ATAATTTTAATATTTTTTTTTACCTATATACATCATTACGCGTTCTCTATGTAATAATAGAAAGGTTCCTTTTACGGTCCCTTGTATTTTAATAAATACAAATAAAAAAAGTCACTTTTTATATATTCTTCTTATATAATTCTCAAAACCAGATATAATATGCGCAACGTTGTAAAAAAATATACTCCTACTAACATTAAATGGAATAGAAAATATATTTTGAAAATTAAACCTATAAATTAATTCATTGCTGGCCAATGCTAACTAGCGGTCTGTAGTGTGAAATCAGAATTATTATGAAAGATTAAAATATAATATCTAGTTTGTCCAATTTGACTAACCTGAATTTGGTGTGGAAATTGTTGTATAGAATATGTATTCTTTAACTTTAACTCCGTGTTATTTGTATTTTTCTCAAAAGATGATAAACATATTCAATATATTTTATATGCAATAAAATGTTTACAGAATCCGATTATTTGGAGAATCTATCATATCGTATATAAGGATTATGCTACACAATAAATCGACTATATTATTTATATATTTTAGAATGCACAAAAACGATTTTTATTTTATCAAATGCATAATATGAGTTCTGCATAATATATATATTCTTAAATATAATATACACTGGTGTTGTTTCGTTCACATTACAATATGACCATTGATTCAGATTAGTCCAACGATATATTCAGAAATATTATAATATGAAGCTTAAAGAATTGAGCAAAAATTAAACGACAGCGTTTTGGAAAAGATCGTATCGTTTTGCATGAATGACACGTGGAATGAATCGACGGTCAGGAGAGAATACTGGGGAGCAGAGTACCTAAGCCGTTGGAGGGCGTGCGAGGGAAGAGCGCGTGCGGCTCGATCCCGACGTTGTTGAATATGAGCCGTTAGATCTGATCCACGTAGATCGATGCGAGGGCGAAAACGCACGTGCTATTAGGAAGCTTTCCCGATGAGCGTCACGTGGCTTCTTGGGATTGGTTTAAAATATATCCTCATTCCGTTCCGTTTTGTTGTTGGACGGTGCGTTTTCGTTCAAGAGACGACGTCGTTTTGCTACCGATTGGCCCTTAAGTTTAGGTATTTGGGTTTCCGGTTTTTTTTCTTTGTTTTAGATTATTCGCTTAGAAAAATCAAAGCCGTTTATTTTTATATTAGAGTTTGTTTATTCGGTTTTTTTTTATCATATTTGATTTTTATTCATAAACTTTTTATTGTCTAAATAAATTATTTTAACTTTTCAATGAAAAATGCGTCTATTTAATTTTTATATCAAATTTAATTCAGATACGATTGTAAATTATTCTATTCGCATCTATTCAGACCAAATCAAATTTTCACTTGTAACTACTATAATTATTGCACGAAAAAAACTAATTTTTATTGGTATCATTTTTAGTTTTCTTAAATATAACTGTAGCATAAATAGACCAATAAATATTTGATAGATCTGCATTATTTGATATTTATTAGGCAGATTTATTACGTGATTTAAGCTAAGACTATTGTATCCCATTCCCAGGATTAATATATCATGTGATAAGCATATTATTGTGTTTTATTTTTCAAGAAATTATAATTTTCATTCGTAAAAATACTATTTTTTCATAAAAATGGTAGCTATTTAAAGCAATAAAAAAAACTCATTCTATAAATACATATTATTTTTATTGGTTGGAAAAAATAATTTGACGGATAGTATAGGATATAGATAGGGGGATAGATATGAAGTTAAATGATGAGTTAGAGGTTGGTCTATTTGGTAATGCAATTAATGTTATATAATTTTAAAGTTAAATAAAATATATACATTTACGCTTGGTTACAAATATCATATCAAACCAACTTAGTAATTATTTTTGGGTTACCAGCCATGGACCGACATATAAAAACACTATAGTTATAAAACACGTAATATATTATAAGATACCGTATTAAAATGTCTTGATTAAATTTTACACGCTTATGAATACGACTATCACAAAAATTGCATGATCTTAGTAGTTGGATTGGTTTCTTGTTCGAATAAGCAAATAATATGTGCAAATTTCGGGATATAATATATATATATATATATATATATAAGTAGATAAGTTGGAAAGACCTTTTCTTTTTCTATTTCAAGATATTCCATCAACATGTGTTAATATAGCATTTATCACCTAGACCGAAGAATATTAAGTTTTTTTGGGTAAATAAGAATATTAAAATTTACGTAATATGTTTTAGAATTATTCAGATAAAAGCTCAAAATTTTAATAATCACTTGATTATAGACATCCAAAGCCTCTATTTTTTATTTATACATGTAATGATTGTTTTTTTTAAATATTTCTATACTTTTTGATGTATTTGAAGTTACTTATACTTTAGTTCTTTTAAATTTTAAAAGGAAAATCTATATAATTGATAGAATTTAATATTGCTTTTAAGATTGGATTGGGAAACACAGTTCATTTGTCGAAATGTCACTTTCACGGATCAAAGGGGATTCGACCTTAGAAAATATATGAATTCATAAATTCTTTTTATATATTATTGTGTATAATTTTAACGATCAATATATTTTTTTCATTCTAAATCGAATTTTTTAGATTTTATTTATAAATTAACAGATATCTTCATTATAAAAATGAATAAATTTATAAGTAATTTATAGTAGACACGGAACGTATTTACTTTATTTCTATTATGGATGATAAAGTCAAAGTAATAGCTAATAAGAGCAAGTGTGAATATATAAGAAACAAAAATGTGAATATTTGTTTTCAAATATCGACAACTGAATCGAACGGTGGAGATTGCATGACGAGGCGAAGGTTAGATCTGAGTCGTCAATCTGAAAAGACGCGGGAGTGGACGTCCATCGAGGAGAGAGAGCATATGGATTTCCCTTGTGTAAAAAAAGCCTTTCACGCTTTTGCTTTTGCTTTTTTCTGTGGGATTTGAAAAGTATCGAAACGGCGTCGTGTCACTCCAAAAAACACCAAATGAAATTAATAAAAAGGAAAAATATTAGTTTAGTATATCAGTTTGACAAAATATCTAATATATATATTTACTTGAGATTTTTCTAAATAAAGTAAATAATATAGGGCGCTTTGTCAAAATTAGGTATACAATGCGTATCCCTTTTTTGTATTATTGATAATTTATTCATAAAATATTTTATTATATTTTTATTGATTATAATTCAGAATCTAAATGATTTTGTGCATTTAAACTAAATATTGAAAAATTATAGTTTGTTTCGCAATTAACCCCTTTTTTTGTTCGTTATTTATTGTATATCCAAGTTGTAATTTTGTTTAATTACGCATAAAGAATATCATATGTTTAAGACAAATGACATCGTTATGTGTGATTTCCTAAAAACGGATCCGCTTATGTTCGAAAAATAAATATGTAATGTTATAAAATCTTAATAGAAAAAGACAAACCGGATAGAGATAATAATTTGTGTTTTTCATGCCTAATTATTAGGGTTTGGTAAACTTATCACTTCATGCAATCTATGGGATCCACTCGATCCCTTTTGAAAATTGGATAGCGAAGTTATACGGATTAAATTCACATAATATCTACGTATCTAAATTATTGTTTTTTTTTTCAAAAAATTAGATATATACAATTAACGTTATAGAATATTAAGAATAATATTTTTTGTAATTGGATATTATGAACCAATGTTTTCAACTAAATGAGTTGGATTTATGATATCGCACCAAATTTAAGATTCGAATTCGAAGTAGAACAAACGTTTTGCACATATCTTTCACCAGTTTAACTATCCAAATTTAAATTATTAAAAATAGAGTTATATATTTAAAATTTATAACATTCTGATTCAAATAAACACAACTACCCATCATTTGTCCATAATTTATCCGTGTACCGTACCCAATTTATTTAATTGCCAATTGAGATAATGGATTTATTGTCCATTTGAATTCCAATTTAGATACTCTTAAAGTTACACCTCTAGTATTTATTTCATTGACATATTTACATCTACGTACCAACCCTAAATTGTCCATTTCGTAAGAATCTTAATTCGTTTTTAAATAAGGTTTTGAATAAATACGATAGAGTTATTATAATGAAATATGAAATCATAGTACATGAATCATTAGTCAAAATTGGCCTAGTCATTATCAAATTCTCCGTGTTTTATGTTTTTACATATAATTATTTGTTCATTACATATTAAGAAATATTTTCATTTATCAAAAGATGTTTTGCATCAAAGAAAAACATTTTTTAACTTAAACGAGAAATTAATATTAATAACCTTGTTAAAGGAAAAGGGCTAAGATAAACTCCCTCCCGAATCCAAGCGGGCCACGTGCTAAAATACGCTCCTTTTACATTCTATCTTATCCTACGCACCCTTTCTCTCTCTACAGGAGTCTCCACACGTCACGGCCCCCTCCTTTTTAGAATTCCAGGGAAAGAATAATATATTATTACAATTTATAAATATATATAAATTTCTTTATAATAATATAAACTATCTTTATATAATAAAAAATATTTAACTGACGATCCAATTGATCTTACGAACTAACAAATTATATTTTATTTCATTGTCCAAAATCTACCAAAGTCGTTACAAAGTTGGACATTTTTTCAACAAAGGTACTCGTATTTCATATAAATAATCGTATATATATCAGTAATCAGTATATATACATATTAGCTGGGGTTGTATGTATGCACGTATACAGATAACGTGTACATGAGGATCTTTGCTCTGCTTTTATTTTTTTCCCCATAAATTAAAAACAATAATTTATTTGAAATCTTCGCAGATTTCTATACAGAAAACAATTAAGAAACAATATAATAATGGTTTGGGAGTCTAAAGCTGCGACGGAATCGCCATATACAGAAGGTTTACGCGCAGGATAAGAGCATGCACACTCTTT